AAGCTGGCCACATTTACCGCCGCTGCCAGTACCAACAAATGAGGCTGCGTAGTTTCGACGTGAATGCGCCGTGCCCGCAGCGGGGTGAATGACTTCAAGGTGTCGCCGACTACCTCACAGAAGCACAGTGGACACCCCGACGACCTTGCCGTTCCCGTCGCCAGGCCGCTAGATGTCACCGCAACACGGACAGTACACCGGCCCTACTCAGGGCCGTTCGCTGAGCCCATACTCGAAAAACTAAGGGCAGCAATCGATGGAGGTGCGATTGCTGTACAACGAACTACTGAAGATCCACCGCCGCCGCCGTCGACACGAAATCACAAGCATCCGCCGCAAGACAAAAAGGGCCTTGACGTTAAGCCTTCGCATCATGAAGACGGCACGACGCAATGTGACAGCAGCGGAGCAAGTAGACGTAGCCCCCATGACCTGACGTCATGACCCAACCGCAACACATGACGACGAATCAGAGACCTCAACGTAATATTCGACGGCCGCCTCGTCATTGCTCTCATCGATACTGGAGTCGATTATTCCGTCGTCAGTGGGTCTTTCGCGACGAAGTTGAAAAAAGTGAGAGCTGCACTGCAAGGCTCTGAAATCCGGACCGCTGGAGGTCACTTTATAACGCCGTCTGGAGTCTGCACAGCTAGAGCCACCATCAATAACCAGACTTGTCCTGCGAGCTTTGTCATTTTGCAAAATTGCTCCAGGAATGTGACCCTTGCAAAGAACTTTCGAAGTCAACATGGCGCTGTCATCGACCTGAGGTCTGAGTCAATCACCCTAAGCTCAGAAAACACGCTGCCGACCCCTCAGAGCCAAGTAATCACGCATTGAATGTGCTAGAAGGGCAGGTCACCGTGCCGCCTTCCTCCATTGTCGCCATTTTTGTTGGCACCAAAAAAGCCGAAAAACCTTGAAGGCATCGTCGAGGGCGATCAGCACCTTCTCCGGGACTGTCAGATTTGCGTCCCAAGAGGCATAGCTGAGCTGCATGACGGCAAGGCAAAGGTGGTGCTGACAAACGTCAGTCATTAATACAGGCACATCAACCGTGGTATGACGGTCGCCTACATCAATGAAGTCGTGGAGGCCAGCAATTCGTTCTCCCTCTTCGATGCTGCCGATGTTGCTTCGTCGAACTGAAGTCTCGAACCAGATTTCAATGTTGACCCGAGCCTTTCAAAGTGCAAGCAAGACCAGCTCAAGTCCCTGCTCTTGCAATTCAAGGACTGCTTCTTGTCATCATCGCGGATTCGACAAACCCCAGTCGCGAAGCATCGCATCATCACAAAAGAAAGTGCCCGACCAGTTTGACAAAGCCCGTACCAAATCTCGACGCGTGAACGCCACGCCGTGAAGAAACAAGTCGATGAAATGCTACGCGACATCATTCAGCTGTCCAAGAGTCTGTGGGTGTTACCCGTGGTATTAGTGAGGAAGAAGGACGGGACCCTACGTTTTCGCGTTGATTACCGCCGCCTGAACAAAATAACATAGAAGGACATGTACCCTCTTTCATGTGTGGACGACGCCCTGGACCGACTCCACAACGCGAAGTACTTTTCCTCGATGGACTTCAAAATGGGCTATTGGCAGATTGAATTTGACAACAGAGATCGAGAGAAGACGACCTTTATCCCACCAGATGGCCTCTTCGAGTTTAAGGTGATGCCATTTGGTCTTTGCTCGGCGCCTGCAACAATCCAGTGCATTCTGGACACCGTGCTGGCCGGATTGAAATGGCAGACTTGCCTAGTGTACTTGGATGACGTCGTCGTGTTTTCCTCCAGCTTCAACGAGCATCTCCAGCGCCTTAAAGCAGTACATCAAGCTATGGACACCTCTGGACTAACCCTGAAGCCAGAAAAGTGCAGCTTCGCTTAAGAGGAGTTGTTATTCCTGGGACACATCATTAGGAAGCCTGGAGTTCATCCCAGTGCGAAAAACAGCCGCTATCACTGATTTCCCGTAGCCCATTGACAAAAAGGCTGTACGCCGATTCCTCAAATTGTGCGCCTATTACAGGCGTTTCGTCAAACGTTTTTCACAGATCCCCGAGCCGCTAACTTACCTCACGAAAAGGAACGTCCAATTCCGGTGGGAAACAGCACACGCGAAAGCATTTCAGGAACTTAAATGACGCCTCCAGACACCCCCGATACTTGCGCATTTTGACGAATACACCGAAACAGAAGTACACACCAACACAAGCAGCGTAGGAGTCGGCGCTGTCCTTGTGCAAAAGACTGATGGCGTGGAAAGAGATATCAGTTATGCTAGTTGGTCGCTATTCAAGGCTGAAGCCAACTATTCCAAACCAGAAAAGGAGTGCCTTGCCATCATCTGGGCAGCGTCAAAGTTTCGCCCCTATCTCTACGGTAGGCCTTTCATAGTTGTGAACTACTACGCCATGTGTTGGCTAGCTAACTTGAAAACCCTTCGGGTCACCTTGCACTGTGGAGCCTCAGACTCCAAGAATATGACACAACCGTCGTTTATAAGTCTGGAAGAAAACACTCTGACGCCGACTGTTTGTCTCATGTCCCCATCGAACCACCACAGCCCGACGGACTGGATGAGGACAGCTTCTTAGAAACGATAACCACCGACGACTTCGCCAAGCAACAGCGCGCTGACCCGGAACTCAGAAGCCTTGTGGAATACCTTGGGGGTAACAACACGACTGTTACGAATGTTTTTAAGAGAGGACTGGAGTCAGTCTTCTTGCGAAACATAGTTCTCTTAAAGGAGACCAAAAGTACTTGAAACTCTGCACGAAGACCCAACAGCTGGACACCTCGGTGTTTTGCTACACTCTCAAGAATAAAAGAAAATTACTACTGGCCACGACTTGCCGCCGACGTCTCTCGTTACGTCAGGACCTGCCGCAACTGTCAGCAACAAAATACACTGCCGACTAGGCTAGGCGGACTTCTCCAGCCCATCGAGCCACCTCGTCGACCGTTCAGGCAAATGCATGGACTTACTGGGGCCGTTCCCGACGTCGAATTCCTGGAACAAATGGATCGTCGTAGCTGCTTACTACCTCACACGCTACACCGAGACAAAGGCCCTGCCCAAAGGCGATGTCTCCGAAGTAGCAAGGTTCTTCATCGAGAACATCGTTCTGCGTCACGGAGCTCCACAGGTCTTCATTACCAGGTACGGCCTTTACAGCGGACCTAACTAAGGCGATCCTGAGGTACAGCCAGACAAGTTACAACCAGACCACTGCCTACTTATCCACAGACCAACGGCCTCACCGAACAGCTTAAGACCATCGCTGATATGCTGGCCATGTATGTCAACGTCGAGCGCAAGACGTGGGATGAAATCCCTTTGTACGTGACCTTCGCGTACAGTACGGCCGTCCAAAAAACGACGCAGATCACGCCGTACAAGTTGGTCTATGGAAAAGCCCAGCAACAACGCTCGACGCTATTCTCCCAAAAGTCGCTGACGAAGAGAACCTCGACGTCACCACTTACCTTCAGCGCGTAAAAAAAGCTCGTCAATTCGCCCACTGGCACATCAAGAATCAGAGCAGGCGATCGACAGCCGCCGTTACAATCTTCGACGTAGCTTCGTAGAGTACCAGGCCGGGGACTGTGTCTGGGTATGGACGCTGATACGTGGACGTGGGGTCAGTGAAAAATTTCTGTGATGGTACTTCGGATCGTGCAGAGTAGTTTGACGTCTCGGCCCACTCAACTACGACGTTGTTCCCGACGGCCTTACGAACTCTCAATGGCGCAGTGCTCGACCAGAAGTCATCCATGTTATGCGCGAACATGAGAAGTGTATTTTGTTGTTGTTGTTGTGCTTTATCGGTTGTACTTACTGTTTATCGTCTTTATTATTGTACCTTCGTCTTTTGTTAAAGCATCGGGACGATGCCTTTTCAGAGGGGGGCAATGCCACGTTCCTTTCCTCAAGTTTTGTTATCACCTCGTTACACTACGTTCAGCGCAAACCACGCCTACGATGTTCGAGAAGCTGCGAGGCCGAAGTAGATCGTTTTGTTAAAATTACCCCCACTTCATGAATATAACAGATTACTCTAGAACCTACGTCACCGCTAGCGATAACACTAGAATGTTCGATGGCAAGTGTATAAATGCCGACACGCTTCGCCGCTTGTCAGTTGATCGACGGCCGACGCTCTGTTCGCCGCTATCAGTGCAAGACTGCAATCTGACTTTCCGTTTACTGGGCACAGGTTCGCCCAAATAAACAGCTCATTATTTGACTCGCAATATGCTCCATTCATCTACGTCACAACCCAGTAACAGCATAGTGTTTTTGTTGCACTGTTCACTAGCTGGCAACAAAAAATTACACACATTTCACATTTTTATTCATTCCAGAAAATTTTCCTTCTTCTAAAACATATATTTTTTCGGAAGCGCATATCATTGTGCGAAATTTGGTATGCTGCAATGCGTGCTGGAGTCAAACGGACAGAAACTATTTTCACGGGAAATATGCAAAATAACCATTTTGATGCGGTAACGAAAGGCTGAGCATGTGCTCGTTCGTACAATGCAATGCAGCCTTGGGGCTTGCCAAGGTTAAACCCACGATGGTCTCTACTTTCGTTAGCAACGAGGCTATCACAATATGAAGGTTCAGAAAGAATGGAGTACATAGTAAAAGCACTTTCGCCTGTGTAACTACAAAAAAGCTGACTATCTATTCATCTGCTTGAAAAACCACTAGTGCTAGCCACAGGTTTCATGGCACCCCTCCAAAGTTTAAGGGCACTGCTTGCGATTTTTAAGAGCTGTGGATACAAGAGCTTATAATTTTTCCAAATTTAGTAGTTTTGAGTAAACTAGTGTATTTGAGTGGCCTAATTGACAGAAGTTTAGTGTGCCATTGTTTTTCAGCCAGTTGTGCACAAACAAACAGAAGCAAATGGTCAATATTGATAACGCCATCCAAGTTTTAGCAGTCAGCTGCTTGGCAAGTTTACAAGAGGATGAACCAACCTTTGGCACACACTGAGGGAAGCGTTCCAGCAGGGACACCATTGCACATGTCACAGACAGGGCCCCCGTACAGCCATCCAGGTAGTCCACACAGTGTGTCTGCACCACACAGCACATCTTGGGGAAGGCTGGGTTGTCCTCTATGTTGTTCAGTACAACTGCCACCAGCTGCAATATTCTGTCCCAAAGTGAGTCTGTGTTAGCACTTGGAACACTGCAGGAACATACCCGCTTCTACAAGGCTGAAAAAACAATGGTAAATGTCCAAGTGGAAACACCTGAATTAGCCCTTTAATTGCCGTCGAGTGTTTCTGGTAGCGATGTGCATCCAATGTCAGTTTGGCTTAGGAAATATCAAGGAAGGCTGAAGTAATCAACATCTTATGCATACAGTTGCACTCAAAAATGGTTCAGTGTGTTACACATCGAAAGTAAACAGTGTGGGTGAGACACTGTCTCTCTCCCGTGTATTTACGGATTGCTAAGCATGCTTACGAGATAAACGCCCTATTGTATATCCGATGTTTACATAATGTGCCAATATGTAGCTTTCGCTACACCCTTGTACACATGAATGCACGCCAATCGCATGGTTACTCAGCCCCAGAGAGTAACACACGCGGAAAGAACACACCCCCTAACAAAGAAGGGGTACAATCTTTTAGAAAAATTCTACGAATGGTGCGACCAGCTTTGCACCCTGGTGCAAATTGTTCAACTCAGCAGAGAATGCACCGGCACATCAGTGACACTGCGGGACAGAAACATGAAAACGTACCGGCACATCAGAGGCACTAAAAGAATTTAAAAAAGAAAGAAATTTTAGCAAGTCACACTGCGTTTATTTAAATGACAAATTCATTAACTTTTGATTGTTTAATGAAAAATGAACATCCAAACGGTTGACGATGAAGTCTGCAGCCGCTGCAAAGACACAATGGTAGGCTGCTTAACCGCATGCAGCAGCTCCTTGCTGTTGTGCTTGCCAGTCTTGTCTTGGCTGCTGCTGGGGACCATTGACTCACTTGAGTCGACAGCACACATTACCTTGGCTCACCATCCTCTCTTGATCACTAGGATTTTCACTCAAGTATCAGACCAAAATGGAGGAAAAGGCGAGACAGACATGTACACTCAAATTTTCCAGGCATGTGTGAGCAGTAAATGGTAGATTCAAAGCAAATAGCAATTTTGTCAAATAACTTTATATTTAATTCCAATAGTACAAGGGTGAGTAAAAAATGATTTGCACTTTTCATTCTACAGTTTATAAACGTGAAGCTAGAGTTATACTATGCAAATAATTTTGCTACATAAATTTCCTTCTTATCAATGCACTTGGCCCAAAGATCAACGAGCTAATATATTCTTTCCATATAAAAGATTTTCGGTTGCTTGTGAAGTCACTTTCGCATGTAAAGTCACTTTTGCAAAAGCGAAAGGTAGCTGGTCGCGGACTGCCTCTATTCTCAGTGGCATAACAAATTTCACTTGGCAAACAGCGGAAATCATGGCACTGTGCGTGCAAACATCGAGCCTGTTCGGCAAACTGCGTCAGATTTACTTCTAGTTGGAACTTTCTAGCGAGCTCAAGGTTGAAGAAGCCAACTGCTCATTTGTAGCAGGCCCCTCCGAAAGGCGATTGATTGATATGCGGGGTTTAACATCCCAAAACCACCATATAATTATGAGAGATGCCGTAGTGAAGGGCTCCAGTAATTTCGACCACCTGGTGTTCTTTAACATGCACCCAAATCTGCGCACATGGTCTTACAACATTTCTGCCTCCATCGGAAATCCAGCCACCACAGCCGGGATTCAACCTGCGACCTGCGGGTCAGCATCCGAGTACTTTAGCCACAAGACCACCGCGGCAGGGCTCTTTTTAAAGATGACAGCACTTTTGTGCAGCATCGCTCCACTGCTACAGGCAAGCCCTTGACAGTTCTCGAGATAACTACACTGCGACTCGTGCTGTCAATTGCATGTATCCCATTGAGTTCCATTGTCACGTCAAAAAATAAATATGCATGCCATTCACTTTATTATAGAACAAAGCTATACCTGGGCCAGTGTATCGCGAGATAAAGCAAATCGAAGTCTTAATAGTAACGGAAGTGCTTCTTTCTTTTCGTTCGCGATCATACATGATCATGTTACATTGTATCTAATGAATAAGGTTGTGTGCTTCTGAACACTCACTTGTTCGTGTTGGCAGCAGTTGATATTCAAAGCAGATATATTCACGCACATCATGCACACTACGAATGCATGAACATGATATTTTCACGCGGTCGTGACATCGACGAAGGGATCAGACTGTAGGACGAAAATGTTACAACGCACGACACTGACTTAACAGAACATAGGTGGCACGTCGTTTATTCCAGGTCAGCCAGAGCTTCGGCGAACCCGAGCTCCAATGCAGCGCGAGCATCACGAGCCCGGTGAGCCGCGCTTATTGCTGGTGATGATGATGCCACAGCTTCTCCCCTTCTTAAAAGTTCAAACGATCAAGAGCGCGGCGCTTTTGCGTTGAGCACCGCAAAGGTTGAGTGGCCGGAATTGGTGAATCTTTCGTGCTTTGACCCGAAAGTCTTGACAGGCAGATAGCATGTCAGTGTCGCACGATTCGTCAACCGAAACGTCCTGCCGTCGCACTTGGTCAAAATGCCGCCGTTTCGTTCCCTCAGTCATGTCCACTGTGACTATGCGCTTGCCCTGATGGTCCCGCAAGATACCTGATATCCACATTTTCTGTGGCCGGAATGTTCGTGTCCAAACACGCTGTCCTATGCCAGTGGCCATCACTGTTCTCGTTCGTTGCACAGCTTTGCTCTAACAGCGTCTGTGGTTGGCATAATGCAATGTAGTTTCGTTCGTATTTGATACCCCAGCAAAAGCTCCGCCACGACCCATATTTGCGATCCCTTATACAACGCCTCACTTCAACACCATGGGACGGCACCTTCTGTATGCTTGTTCTGCATGACGGTACTTTATATCGACGCAATATGACACCACATGGTGCTGTACTGCTGCTCGTTGTTCCTCAGCATTTGCGACCAACTATCCTCTTACAATAACATGATGCTCCCACCACTGGCTATTTGAGTGTTTACCGAACTTACGATCGTGCACGCAGACGTTTCTTCTGGCCTGGCTCATACCGCTCGGTTCAGCGCTGCGGCGCTTCCAGCGAACTCTGCAACGCCACAAAAAGCCTTCTCTCTCTCCTTCTGGGTACCTTCAGCCCATACCTCTCTCCAGCGAACCCTTCTTTCGTGCTGGCCTGGACCTCCTTGGTCCTTTCCCGATGTCCTCTGCAGGTAACAAGAGGGTGGCGGTAGTGACTGATTATACGACACATATGCCTTTACGTGAGCCCTTCCTACCAGCTGTGCAACCTATGTCGCTGACTTTCTTCTCCATCAAGTCATCTTACACCATGGTGCTCCATGTCAGCTACTGACCGATCGAGATCGATGTTTCCTTTCGAAAGTTGCTGATGACCTTCTCCGCTCTTTTGCAACGTATCACAAGTTCAGCACTGCTTACCATCCGCAAACAAACGGACTTACTGAGCGCTTGAACCGTATACTAACAAACATGTTATCCATGTACGTGCCTGAAGACCACCCGGATTGGGACTCCACGTCACCATTAGTGACGTTTGCCTACAATTCGTCGTGTCACGACATTGGTGGTTATTCTCCATTTTATCTGTTTGCCTCTCAACTCCCTACTTCCTTCTGAGGCAAACTCAACCACATACTACACTCACGGCGCCATCATTCGCGCGACTACGGCACGTCGTGTCGCCCGTGATCGACTCCTGGCACCTCAGGCCAACCAAAAGCACCATTGCGACAGTCACCCCCGCGACATGAGTTTCAACTCTGGCTCCCTGGTCTTGCTCTGGCTGCCTTTGCGTCACCTTGGCTTGAGTGAAAAACTCCTGCCGTGATCTTTTGGGCCTTACCGAGTTCTTCGCCGAGTTACCGAAGTTACATACACGAGATCTCGCCGCTAACTCACAAGACTTCGTACACCTCACCAGCTACCGAGACTGTGCATATTTCATCACTCAAGCTCTACGTCCCGTTCACCGATCCGATGCACCAAGACAGTGCTTTTGCCGCCGGGAGTTAATGTTACGTAGATGTTGGTGCTAGTATCAACTAGAGGACGCTTCTAGCCATAGAAGAGGTTGAAGTGTCTCGGGCTCAGATGCGATTGTGTCGCACTTGCTTTAGGGTCACTGCGACTTCAACTGCAAGTCTATGCGTATCAATATTACCTGTATTTCCAGCTAGGTACAGCGATTTCTGGCACATAATCGATAAATGAAGAAAATAGTTTATAATAAATAAAGTTGCTCATGTGAGAGTGATAAAAAAGGGAGCAGAAAAAAAATACCAGATTGGACTGGTTTTAAGCAAATCACACACTGCATTACATGCATGATTAATCGCAGCTACATGGGCACACATACTTGTCTTTGTGAATGACTTCGGGAGATGTCAGTGCTGTGGTCAAGTGGCTGTGGGTGAAAAACCTTGTCAAAGCATTCCGGTGATGCTTGCACCAAGCTGTGAACACCTGCGAATGAATGCCCCTTTGCACGTGAATATGCTTGAACAGTGAAAGTTGATAGCAAATACGTAAATTCCAGGTAACACATGTTGCATTTTATCACCATACAGCAGCTAGTTTGTGCTGTGCACTACACCTATTTTTACCCACCACAGCAATAAAGTATTATAAAGTATATATGCTCAGTGCGCAACTCAAATGAACACCAAACAGAGACACTAAACTAGTTAGACCAATAAAGTGCTCTGGCGATTCCATCGCTCATTTCCCAATCATAATCCTATCAATAAAACAGAGGTCGAAGTTTCGTTTTTGAATTTCCAGTTGAATTCTTCGCACCTGAATGTCAGAGTGGCAGCGAGAATTTCAGTTTCTTTCTGTTCTTTGTTTTTGTCATGCTTGGCCATATTGGCTGATCAAAATTTCCTGAAACTTGGTGCGTTACATCTCTTGCCTACTCAAAAGACAATGCAGCGCACAAAAATGTGGAACAAAATGAAAACTGGCACCGCGACCTGCATTGTCTTCTTGTGCATTTTCTGACTTACCAAGCGTTTTCTTGTGGCAAGAGTCGTGACTGTGAAAGGATAATGCAGAAAATATCATTTTTCTCTTTAGTGTTCCTATAATATACTTGTCTTCGTGCAGGGAGAGGCTTCAGCCAGTGAAGCGTGAGCTCGAAGCCGACAAAGACACCCCAAGGCCATATCGAGGAAGGCAGACGATACGGCTTCTGCTGGGACGACTAAATTGTAAAATACTCTGATTTTCTACTTCTTTGCACAGCTCACATGCCCACTGCCATGCTAGCACAAAGCTCACTGTCTTCTTTTCAGCTGTTGCAAACAGCCTGAAAGCCCTTTATGGCAGTACTATACACAGCATACAACAAAATGAAGTAGATAAGTGTACATGAGTTATATCAATAAAAACGTATAATAGATGAGTTTGCATACAACAATGATCATTTGACAGAGTTTTTGAAAAGCAAAAAGCAGTAAAGTAATGAAATTTCATCAGATAAGTAAGACTACAAGTAAGTACCACAAATATAAATACTATAGAAATTAATACCATAAAAGAGTGATACTTCTAGCAATCGTTTAGTAAGTATACATACTTGTTTTCACACACAAGTGTCATGGGTCATTGAAACCAAGAAAAGTTGTCTTATCTCTTTCCGGATTAAGGCATGAACATAAATATTTTCGTTTTCCTACTTATTGAGAAGTGAAGGGACATTGTAGACGATTGATTGCATTAGATAATTATTACACCTTTTCGAGACAAGCTATTTGTCCTTATTACGGGCGCGTTGGTGCCTGAACTGCCGTTGTAGTCCTGAGTGATTTTAGAAGTGAATAGAACTTTTTAGAGGAAAAGAAGTATGGAAAGATCAAACGAAACTAATACACCTTAGTAACTCTGATTATGTTAAATTTAGCGAAGAAGAGGTAATGTGAGGAGATGTGGAACGTTGGCTCTAATTCGAAGTGCACGTTTCTAAAGAACAAGAAGTTTATGTATGTTAGTATTTATAGTGATGCCTCACACAAGCATGCAGTAGTTGATGAGGGATGCAAAAAATATCTGATAACTTTGTAATTTCACCTTTATCGTGACAAGGCATCTGTTGCTGTTACCAAGGATTTCAACAATGTGTCAACATGAGGTGTCCAATTCAGCACACTATTGAAAACGACCCTATGTTTGTCAACAATCTCAATTATACATTATCAAGTAGTAGTTTGTGGCATATAGGTACTGTGATATAAGGTGCCGCTACAGACTACTGCGCTGTGCAATGGCATACGCTCGGCAGCCGCCATACAGAGAAAAAAGAAGATGGAATAAACAAGACATCTTTGTTTATGCTATGATGTTCATTATGCACGATGTAACATAATTTGGCGACGAAGATGCACTCGCCCATGTGCAACTGGCTTGAAACTCATCAGAGCCTTCATTTGTTGCCTGTTATCTTCTACGATGAGTATTTAGGGGCTACAACTGCCACCTTCATTGCTGTCGTCACCAGGCCATCGAGACATCCTATGGGAGCAATGAATCCTGGTTTTCAAGAACTACATGATGGGTTCGAGTGCCTCCGACCTACCGGCGATTTATCAGAAGGCGATCCTGCTGAACTCCTTGGGCTTGGAAGGACAATGTATCTTCCAAAATCTGACTACAAATGACCCATGCCTCATGGCTGCGCGCGCTGCGGGAGCTACACTGACGTCTTCCAGCCCTAATAACTTCGACTGCGCCATCGTGATGCGTGAAGGTCACTTCAAGAGCATGTTGAATGTAACTGCAGCCCGTCACCCATGAATCATACCAGAATATGGATGATGGCTTCCAGACAGATTGTATATTCATTGATTTTTCCAAAGCCGCCAATCGCATAGCCCCATACTCACCTCATAGCTAAACTCTCTTCTTTACATTTTTATTCGATAACAACATCGTGGATATGTCACTTCTTATCATCTTATTATGAAACTTTTTATCAATGATCTCCCCAATGGAATTCTATCTAACATCAGGTTATTCACGGATGACTTTGTCGTTGATGATTGTGGAGGTGCTGACACCCCCTGTAAAGTTGTTTGCGCCGCGTGGCGCATGTGTCTCGCACAGAAGCCGTTTTTTTGGAGGTGACAACCGCAGGACGATAGATTGCGTTGTGTTCGCATTGAGTACCACTGTTGGTAGAGTGGTAGCACCGGCGGTGACCTCTGGCGGAAGGCAGGCCTTGGTGGCGGGCAAGAGTTGAGCGGGTCTCTTCTGCGCGTGGCAGTTGCCGCGAACGGTTGTCTCTCGCGGTAGGTCTGCCGTGGACGGCATCGCGGGCCGCTTGCAATAGGCCCACGTGGTGAGTGAAGCGTTGGCGATGCCGCCTTTTGTGTGCTCTTATGTTATGTTGTTTGAGTGTTTGGTAATTTTGTTTAATGATGACTTAGCGTGCTGATAACTATTTATGGATCATTCGGCGGACGATATCGTCATTGTAAATTAGTTAAATAAATGTATGTTGTTTGGTTTGTACCGACCGCGTCTTCTGTGTCTGTTCACTCCGAGAGCGTGGCGTGGTGCTCGCTCGCCAACTCAAGACTCCACATGGTTTACCGTACGAATTCCTCTAGTACTGACCATATTACATTGCCTTACAGCAGGATCTTGATAGAATAAGCTCCTGGTGTTCATCCCGGCAAATGACCCTTAACACGGACAAATGCAAGTTACTTACTTTCAGTTGTGAACCTACAAACTCTATATTTGATTTTTCGCTTAGCAATCATTCCAAAAGCCAGAGATCTATGCATGAATACTTAGGTCTTCATCTGACATCAGACTTGTCGTGGTTTAACCATACCGAAAAAATAACCACAAAGGCCTCTTGTACACTTGGTTATATAAAACGAAAGCTCCGGAAAGCTCCGTCAACGACTCAAAAACTCGCCTACTTATCATTAGTCTGTCCTCAGCTAGAATTTGCATCGTGTGTGTGGTCTTCGCACCAAGCATACCCAATTCCTTCACTTGAATCTATACAAAATCGTGCAGCTCGCTTCATCGTCAGTGATTACAGGCAGCATCAAGCGTGTCTGAAATCAAAACGAAGCTATCCCTTGCATCGTTGGAGTCCCCTGGTAGGACCATCGCACTTATCAGTCTCTTTCATAAGATAATCTGCAGTCAACACCTACTTACACTACTACTTAACTGTACGCATCGTATATCTCATCGTCTTCACAATCATCGAAGCTGGAAACGCCTATTCGGTTGACACAAAGACTTTCAATTCATTAGAATCACCTCGTGCCATAAAATACTGGAACAATCTTCCAGATAAAATTGTTAGTATACGGGACCCTGAAACGCTCAAAAAAGAACTACATATGTTTTCATAGCTTTTTTTGTGTGTTTTTTTCTCGCATAGCCTCGACTTTCGGCTTGTGCAAAGGATGCTCACTTTTGTTTGATTGGTAAGGTCAAATCAAATGTCTTTTTTTTTGCGTAGTTCGTCTGTCGCGTTCACCCTTATTACTAATAAACTGTTCAGTGTATTGAAATATTTGTATTTAATATTAACTTTGTACAACTACCTGTTCCTGCATTCACTAACTCACAATCTATGCTGTTTAAATTATGATGTATGACCCCCCTCACATAGTGCTTCAGATGGGAGCCTGTGATGTACTTGAATAAAAGTTGAGCACTTCATGACTACTACTTGGCCTGACAAAAAATCCCTGTCAAAAGTGTTGCTACCTCACTTTTACATGGAGGCCGAACTCTCTGTCATAAGTGACATTCTATGCCGGAGTGACAGGACTGCTGTGCCAGCGACTTTAACACGCCATTTCGTGGATCCGGCCCACGAGTCACACTCGGGCATTAGTCGTACCAATGCTCACCTGAGAGATTCTTAATGATGGCGGTGCATGGATAGCGACATTGAAGAACTGACGCGAACATACGTGATTTGCCAGTCTTGTGACAAGTCCGCACATACCTTTGCAGCGCCACTGCAACTTGCTCCTCTTTCTGACGCGGCGTGGGAAAAAATTGCCCTTGACATTGTGGGACCTTTCACAGAAGCTTCGGCAACCTACCGTTTTGCAATTACTCTTATTGACTATTATAGCAAGTGGCCTGAAGTGGCTTTTGTGCGAGATGCGACCATATGTGCAATGAAGAAGTGCTACTTGAACTTTTTGCAAAAGAAGAATACCCACGTTACATTGTATTCAATCATGGGCCACACTTTTCTTCAGGAAGCTTTGATGAATTTCTTTCTAAGCACGAAATAACGCATTACAACTCTTCTGTGAATTACCCACAAGCTAACGGCTTGGTGGAAAGATTTAAAAGGGCGCTGAAGTCGTATATTCCACTAACTCTGTTTGAACGCCGTAATATACGAACAGCCATGCTTTATAACCTGCAAGTATATTGCTGTACATCTGACGCTACTACTGGTGCGGCACCCGCAGTTCTCCTTCATCAATGCCAACCTCACACCAAACTTGATATGGTGGGATTGCCTGACAGATGCTTCAGCACGAACACGTAAAGGGCGATTAAGCAGCTGCGAGAATGCATAAAAAACAAGCGAAGGGTCTTTAAGAGCTCCCCCAATAACAATTTTAAAGCCATAAAACTCTCTAGCTTCGTCGTTGGTCATTATGTGCGTGTTTCGTTACTTGCAGTTTACGGCAAGCAGTTTCCACAATTCTCCGCGCCCAAGAAGATAATTGGAAAACAAGGACTGGCCTCGTAACTCTTGGGCAATGGGTGTGTGTGGAATACATCCAAGTTAGTCGCAGTTCACCCCGGAGCAGCCAACAAAATGAAATCAGGCACATCCGCTGTTATGAACTGGTCACCTGCATCTAATTAGTCATCTAGTGCACCACAACCATTAGGAGCGAGGAGCGGATGGCCATGAAAATGCTGACTCTGGATCGTCTGCTTCAGAAGGCACGCAAGTTTCAACCAGTCTCTCAGGATTTAATGCGCCCGTTAGAAGACAGCGTAAAAAGAATACCCCGAAGAAATTGAAGGACTTTGTTAGCGAGTAACGAGGACCCGTTCTTGAGTGTTTTTACTTTCTTTTTCGAAAGGGGATATGTGATATAAGCCGTCGCTACCGACTACAGCGCTGTGCGATGGCACTTGGCAGCCGCCACACAGAGGAAAAAGAAGATGGAATAAACCGTGTGTCTCCGTTTATGCTGCTATTAATGTTCATTATATACCATGTAACAAATACCTGTCTGTCCGTGGTCCTAAACAGGAGTGCTTTTGATTTTTTGTTCGTATCCCCTTGTCTTACACCCTTTTTTTATTAACCTATAAATGCCTAGCGTCCTGAATGTAGGACGCTGAAACTTTTCAGTGTAACTGGAATGTTTTTTCCTTAAAAAGGTACTACCACCAAAGATGTGTTTATGGTGTCCTCACCACGTGCAAGTCTAGGCGATCGCTGGGCTACAAATAGCCACATGCTTGCAGTCACAAAATGGCTATTTCGCATGTGTGTAGCTTGCCATACCGCAAAAAAAAAAGTAATATAGAGTCAAATTGTTCTCGGTTCTGCTGATATTTTTGTCGATTGTTCGACAGTTATTAGGTGTGCAGTAACTTTCGAATGACAGTGATAGGCCCTGATGTTTTTTTTTGTTCGCGGTGTGTCATACCTTAGTGTCCTACATAGGGCTCCAAACCCATGTTCAAAAGTTTTCTTTTTATTATTAAAACCCTTATTCTGTTTTCTGAGGTCGTAGAAGCAATCATAGCATCATTTTGAGGAAATAAATTAGTTTTGTTGATTTTCCAAAGTTGAGGCATATATGGGTTAACATTTATTTTAACATTAATTACATCTGGCTTAATGTCACGTTTATTTTTTAACCTTTTCCAAACCCCTGTCGTCGAGATGATACAGCGCACAGAAAACGCATTCAATGGGCAAATATAATTGACTATGTCCTTGTAGCAGCAACAAAAGTAGGATTTTAATCACACTCCCTAATCACACTCCCTAATAATTATCTGCCGAACTAAAGCAACCATCGCATTCTAATGGAGAACAAACCACCGCCGACCAGTGCCAAGTGATGTGTAATTGCGTTATTAACGGCGGCGGCGGAGAAAAGCCGTCTGTGTAAAAACAGAAAATAGTTAGGTCGCTGCACTTTTGCTCATTTATCGAGAAACCTATCAGTGCCCGTCCGAAGCGAGATGTATGCCCAATGCACGCCTTCCAAAGAGAAATATCGGACAGACAACGAAACATGGTTGCACAGTAAGTATCAGAAAATGCAACTTACCTGAATCCCACCGTTCTGAAGAAAGCCATTGTCACCGCTAATTGCGAGATCCCACGACACTTCAAGCAAAGATTGACAGTCATTTAAGTTCATCGGTTTTGAAGCAGCTGGAATAAGCTTATTTTCGATCAAGTTTCGTTTGACTTCTTCCGGAGAGTCGGACTTCGCGATTCCTCGCAAAATGTGATGCATCTTCGTTGCGACTGTTCGACAGGGTCTGATGGACAGGAAAATTCGACAAAAAGGTCAAGAATAAAAAATAGCAAATGCCTGAAAAAACCGCACAATCATGGTAAATGTTTCCATGGGGCCTTGTGTTTCGCGCACTCAGAGGCTCACGCCGACAGCTACGCTCTAACTTTGCGAAAATAACTCTGTTGCGAACCATAGTGACCATAGCATAGAGCACACCTAGAGGTGTGCGCCGAGACGTCGGCGCGCCGCCACCTACAGTTTTCACTACGCCGCCGCCGCCACCGATGCCAGCTGATCGGCGCGCTGCCGCCGCCGATGTGTTTTTTTGGCGCGCCGATTAAATTTTTGGCAGAGACTGCTGCGCCGTGCGGCGCACAAGCCTGCCCCACACAAAAACGGCTGCTGCACCGCACGAAAGTGACGTGTTACATTTTCCGGTTAGGCGCTTTGTTTGAATAGTCGGGAGTGTCTAGCGGTACGCCTAGACATAACAATAAAAGCCGTTAAAATTATGTCCAAACGAAAAAGTTAACAAAAAAATGCCGCCATATCCACGAAGTGAATGATGATGAGTGGGCGAAGCTCCGGTGATAAACCTGGTAAACCATGAATCCTCCGTACATTTTGCCCACTCGATTTTATTGCAACGCTCCCCCTAGCGTACGTCGCCGCACTATATCGAACGATGACACGCGCCATATGTGGCATCATTCCTATTTTATAACACCTCGCATCTTTCATAATCAACTACACGTACCGCCGTCTAGTTTATAACATCTTGCATCTTTTGGACGGACGGACGGATGGATGGATGGATGGATGGACGGATATGGCTGTACCCTTTAGATCGGGCGGTGGCTAGCGTAATACTTAGAACTGAACGAGAGGTGGCTACATACAGGGGACGCACAGCCCACGCCTTAAGGAGCTTCGCTCCTAAAATGTTATTTAGGTTTCGCGTGACAACAATACAAAACAGGCTTGTTTGTCACCTCAAACCGATCGGCAGCTGTGGCGTAGTTAAGGAAAGTATCTCAAGATTAATTGAGGTAGTAAGAACAGACGAATGTGTACCTTTATGAGTAGAAAGGGTAGAAGCCCTACTGACCATGAAGGAATTCTAGGATGTGATGTGTTATAGTTATGCTTGACGGGCTAAGTTATTTTTAAGTTTTTTGTATTGTTTGTAGTGAATTGTAATATATCTTAGTAACCCGTTTGAGAAGTTTACCGGAAATAAAGAAAAAAAAAAGGCAGCTGTGGCGTAGTTGGTTAAAGCAACACATGAACTGGTGAGGCCGGTGGTTCAAGTCCCATTGCAGTTATCGATACTTTCTCTTTTTTTTTTTTGTTCGCGCATGTATTGTTTTAACATTTGCGCCTCCTTATCAGCCCAACTTGCTGCTGGTGGTGGTCCCGTCCACAGGCCCTTTATTATTGGATCTTCGATGACGCTTGCAGGATTGACAATATTTATTATGATAAAGTGTTTTGCGAATTAGTGCTCTTAATCGGCGAGACGCAAAAAGCCACAAAAACTCGAATGCAGCTGGCTGCATTGGTTTCTTTAGCACAGGTGTTAGGAATGTTGATTTCCACGGTTTATCAAAGTCTTGATGACAGAAAGGTGCACTGCAACGTAGTCTTGGGCAACTTTTTTTATGTCGCTCAGTGTACCATCACCTGACGAGGTAACCGGCAGGCCGCTTTCTTTAAAAATACTGACGTGTCACCGCAATGTTCTCGGCGATCAGCACTTGATAAACAATGCCCAAGGGCAAGTGCCGACGACGTTAGCCCATCTCACTACTTGTCTGCGTTGCTCAAAAACACGTGCGGCCTGTGACAGCACGGGAGCATTACGTAGCAACGGATGAGAACGGCCGTACGTGTTCGCACTTGACAAGAGAGAGAGAGATAAATAGAGAGGAAAGGCAATGAGGTTAACCAAGCTTGGCTCGGTTGGCTACCCTACACTTGGGGTGGGGGAAAAGGAGAATAATAGAACGGAAATAGATAGAAAAGAAGAGGATTCGCACTTGACAAAACAGACGGCAATGCAGTAGCTCTGGCCTTCGGAGATCACAGGCTTCGCAAGAACATTACAATAAAGTTGTTTCCATCCATAGTATGAACACTTCGCCGACGCACTGGGGTTTCATGCATGTGCGTCCAGTCAGTCACACGTGAACCGTGCGACGGCATTTATTTCATCGTCGACCTTGTCCTTCGCGACAAGCAAACCTCGGCAGCAAGAACACTTTCTCCTTTGACAACACCACGCTTGGCATAGCAATCTAGAAAATGCAGTACGTCCAACGACTGTAATCCGCACATCATACTGAGAAACTTTATGGCGCACATACTCAGATGAAGCTGCGGCGCGGTGGACGGCCGCGCTAGCTCCAACCACCAGGTTCAACTAAGCATCCGGCAATCACATGAAGCAGCGACGACACTCCAGTCCTCCTTGGGAGTGGCCTAGGCCATGGCCACGATTTCACCCGAGTTTTCACCATCAACATATCGCAGGCGGCTACTATCTCGCAGTGTTTACCTTTCGCAGCCGCAGCGCCCATGGCGCCCCCTGTATTCAAAATACTTGTAATATGTATTTAAATAACAAACCTGAGTTAATTGACTCAATAAACATTTTTTTAGTAAAAATTGTGTTGGTTTAACGTTATACGCACGAATAATTTACACATTTAATTAGCTTTAAGTAATAACTTTTTTTAGTGACGTCACTTCCATGCGGTGCAGAAGTCGGTTTTGTGTGGGGATGGCTGCTGCGCCGCGCGGTGCAGAAGACGCTGCCTAAATTTTTTTACAGTAAAGCTGGCTTTCTTTGGCAGTTTATTCTGTCATCAGTAAATTATCCGTTCTTTCCTAATTCTGCCGTCTAGTAAACGCATCGTAATCAATTTGCCTGCTGGATCAGAAAAAAAAAACTCCCAAGCATTTCCCCGAAGGTGAACATGGTTAAGTGCGAATACACGGGGTGATGCTATGAGGGGTATTTATTAATTCACACTATTATATTTATTAATCACACTATGGTGCCTTTATGGTGTAATGGTTCCTGGGAATCGCAATTTGATCACACGGGCGAGTTTACGTTAACTCACTGGTGAATGCCAACGGATTTTAACTTTACTCCCCCTCACGCACAAAAAAGAAGTTAACTTCTTTGGCGCAAACAATACGGAAAAAGGAAAAAAGAAGGCGAGGAAAGAAACAGATTGACGCCAATATTGTTTGCGCCAAAGAAGTTAACTTCTTTTTTGTGCTATGTACCAACTAGACCCAACGCAAGTTTTACTGAAGTCCCCCTCACGACCCGCTCTCGACGAGAGACTGAGAGAGAAGGCGGGCGCGCGATAGAGAGGGGTGCGCGCGCAGCTGCAGCGAGCGAGGAGAGCGGAGGAGCGAGCGAAGGGGGAGGGGATATAAGGCGCGTTACTGACACCGATATCAGCGTCGCGTCCGTGGCTTATTCGGTAGAGCGTCGCGCTGCGGCCCGCCAAGTCTTCTTTCTTTTAAAGATAGAGAGAACACTGCGGACGCCGCCGACGGCGGTGGATGGTTTAGTTTCGCTTATAAAGTGTATTCACACTTAAAAAGCCAGGCCTGCGTAGTAGGCGCACCACAGTCGCAGCGAGAGCTAGAGGAGCGGCCCAGTAGGTAGGTGTTCTGTGAGCGGCCTTTCAGAACCTTTTCTAAACACCCGTTGCGTAACTGCTGCAAGCACACTTGCTTGATACCCACTACGGCATTAAAAATAAAAAATAGGGTAGTAGGCTGGCATTCGCTCTGCTATTTTTGTCATTTTTCTGAGAAGCGTGGTATCCGATAAACACTTGCAAGGGATTTTGTGCCAATTGTTCACGCAGTGATTGACGACGATGAGAAATTATGCCTGAATTGAGTATGCGCCACAGTTAATGGCTGAACAAGAACAATCTGTTGTGATGGGTTGGAGCATTAAACGACCCATACGCTGCGCTATTCGCATTGTGCGACGACTAGTTAATTGTTCTTTCGCTGTTTTAAAACGCTTTATAAGTCGTATTAACGCGATTGCTTTCCCGACATCAACCTTGCCTAAGGCAATATTGCCAACAAGTCCCAAGCACTGGTGTGGCTCAGTGGTAGAATACTGGGCAGGCACCCAGTGGACCCGGGTTTGTGCCCCACTTTGTCATTAATGCGGATAAAACACTAAGTACGTAATGTCTTGTGTTTCCTCCGCATTTTCATGCACTCATCGACAATCAAACCAAGTAATCTGCTCCTTACTTCACCCGTGTTCTATCTTCGACTAAACTGGACTAACTAAATCTAGATGCCGATTTTTATCAACGGTGTTTGAAACAGTACATCAATAACGCAGCTTGCTGTGCGAGTCAACTGCTTCTTAATATTCGGAACAGAAATCCAACGGAAGACACGAAGACAACAAAGGAGAACAACAACAGAGAGCAAGCATTGTACTTTAAGCACAATAGAGTCGACGCTACCATGCAATCACTGTGTAGCAACGCGAATTCTTTATCTGTAAGGAAAACTGATGGATGATTTACACATGACGCTTTGCTATGTTTTGTTTTATTTTGAAGGCTTTAAATACTTTACGTCCAATCTTATTTTTATTCATTTGCCAATGACCCTTATTGATTTGTAAATCAGGGACGTAGAGCCATTGCAGCGCAGCGGTGAGTTTCCACCAGTGCCTATAGGGAGTAGAATGCGGTGTTCACGCAGCCTGTCATTGAAGCTGATCGGTTCTTCCAACCTTTGTAGACGTGGCCACATGACAAGGAAATTTCGAAACTCACGTCTGCGCTGCAAAGGCTCTAGCTGCGCACCTCTGATATCAAATCAGGGTGCCATAAAGAAGGAACTGAGAAATAACATTAATTTGAAAGTTGCGAAGCCTATCAATATCATATAAAAAAGGCAACGTGACAAATGTGATGCAAACCCTCACTTTTTAGTCAATGGGCGCACGTGGCATTGATATTTTGACTTTGTGGAAATGCGCTGTTTGCGACACCTTGATATGCTTAACTCTTGGCTTTGTATTGTTAAATGTGCAACAACTCTGATAGCCCATTTACGCATGCGCTATGGTTCATGCGTGTGGGGGGGCTTTCTTTAATAAATATTTAGTTGTTAGTC